ACAGGAAGATGTTGAAATACTTTCTTGTCCATTAGCAAACCAGAAGAAAGTTAAACAAACATTGACCACGTATAAATATTTCAAAATCAGCAGTTCTAGACAATTTACAGTAGGAAACCATGAAAGAATTTCCTGAAGAATGCTGCTGTTACTAGTTCAAATGAATCTTAGCATTCCCAGAAAATTCCAGAAGATAACCTAAATAATTTCAATATTACTCAAAACACTAAGTTACTTGTAGTCAGACTACTACGAGACTATTCCCACATAAAAATAATTACAAAAGTTGCAACACAATTAACTGGAAGAGAAATAAAAGAAAATACTACAATCGGAAGTAATCAATGTGGTTTCCAGGAAAATAAAGCTTGTCAAACAAATCTGATATTTCTTCATTAATATATTTTTTTGTTCATGAAGTTGAAATTATGTTATCCAGAGAAAAAACAGAAACATCAAAATCTTGCAAGATGAACTGGCCACTCTCAACAAATAAGCTTTTATAGAAAAGTGTTATCAATGAGCTGTTTCCAGTGATCTTATAAAGGACATAACATTATTAAAAGCTTTCATCAGTGATCTGAAGTAAATATAAAACCATGGCTGATGAAGTTTGCAGACGACAATACCTGGCAAGATGATAAACAGTGATAACGACAGCAGTTACACAGATGAATCTGCATTACTGTGGTGAAATGGCACCAGGCTGAGCTCATTTTAACAAAGACAAATGCCACCACATTGAGGAATGTAGATCTTATCCCAGGAATGGAAAATAAGCTAACACAAGCATTCAATGTATAAATTCAGAAAGGACTAGGAAAATTTTACCTATGTATTAAAATTACCAACTCCTTAACTACACTGAAATCCTGTATATCGTTCTGGTGCCCATATTTTAAGGAAGACTCTGAAAAATTGATGAAGGTAGAAGAAAAAAAGAGCCACAAAACTTGAATGACACATATGTTTTAGTGAGAGAGAGTTCATGAGCTCGATTTGTTTGGCTCACCAGGAAACTGAGAAGTGATTTGATTACAACATCTAAGTACCTCCACGAGGAGAAACTGCAGGATATTAAGGAGCTCTTTACCCTAGTGGTGAGAGGCATGAAAAGAATCAATGGCTGGCAGCTAATGCCAGAGAAATTCAAATGAGACACGAGGCACACACTCATCACCGTGAGAACGATGAGCCATTGCAACAAACTGGCAAAGTGAAGTATTTTCCCTCTTCATGCCTTCAAACCAGGACTGGACATTTCTCTGAAAGGTATGATTTAGCTGGACACAAGTTATGCTTTAGTCAAACAAATTACTGGGTTCAGTACAGAGGTAACAGGGAGAAATTTAATGGCTTGTGATATATGACAGATGAGACTAGATGAACTAACACACACCCCAAGGCTAAACTCTATTAATCGATTTATCGGTGCTTTATGCTGCCATCCATTGCTACAGTATCTGAGCACTTTCATATTAAATCAATAGCAATAGCAAAATACCTCATGGACTTCAAGGAGCTTCTGGAACTTTTGGTTTTAGGAGTAAAACTAATTAGGGAAGGATTTTTGAGATTTTTCTAGAGGTGGTCAGAATAATAATTATATAGTCAGTAAGTGGATATTTTTAAACCTGCTTGATAGTTGAAAATCTTTTAATTTGAAACAGAAACTAGACAACGAAAAAGAACTTAAAACTTTAAAAAATGGAAATTCCAGATATGTCCGCATGTTTGGAGACACCATTATAAACCAGGCAGAAGAAACCAGAAGTCTAGTGTTTTCCTACAGATAAGCTAAAAAAGTAGATGGCTGATTTTACCCCTCAGTTTCACCCCATTTAATCCACCACAAATACCATCACATCCATAAATGTGAGTAAATAAACAGCGGTACTTCATTCCTATTTTCACTCAGAGCACCCAATTAATGCACATATTACATGTTCTGCTTCTAAACACTCCAAGCAGACCCAGATCCTTCCCTCCTCCCACCACTACACTGCAGTTTCTTCCTTTTCCATGCTGTCCAGATGGGAAGTACAATCTGGGAGGAGGGAAAGAAAGACGACTGGCTTCTCAGTCATCCTGTTATGGAAAGTGCCCAGATAGAAGTGTGGAAAGCCTGCATGGTTGGAGTATGTCTAGTATGGCCAGAAACCTGGTACAAATTAACAAAAACGTTGACAGTTCAGTTTTCCAAACAACGTTTTGCCAGGAGTTTATGGCTTGACCAAATTTAGGTCAAAACTAGCAAAGGGCAACTCCATATTGCTTTAAAATCTGTTTAAAATCAGAATAAGGAAAAAGAAAATATTTTTTTCTTCTAAACCTCTTTTCTTAATCTTTCTAAATTTAAATCAAAAGCTTACCAAAACCAATTCAACTGGCATTCAGGTCACCTTCAGTCTAAATTTTGACAAAACTACAAATAACTGGAAAGACATTTTCATAAGGCTTACACAGCCTTATTAACAGGCAGAGGTACAAGTATCATACATAAGGATGTTTTGGTCTCATTAATGGATAGTTGGCCTTTCATACTACCTACAAAGAGAGATAGAATTTCATACAAATGAGATAACACATCTTCAAATAGATCTCTCCTACCATGAAACTGTGATCCCTTTAAACAGAGATAGAATAATGGTACCGTGATGTAGAGACAAATCAAGCATGATAAAAACATATTTATCTTAATTTAACCTGAATGTGCATTTTCTGATGTTTACATTTTTCTATGAAACATTACACTTCTGTTAGCCTTAAACAATTTTGTAATAAATAAATCAGTAAAAATGGTATTTCTTAAGTTCTATAATTTGTCAGGTCCTATTTTGTTGGTTACTTACTATGTCTGCAGAAAAAGCAATGTTTCTAAAACTAGACAGCAATAAAGATTCACAGGCTAGGTGTAAGTTTCTACACTTACATGCATACAACCTCACAAATCAGGTATTGAAATGTTTGCGAGTATAACTGGTTTCTATCACAGTACTTGGTTTTCCAGTCTTCTTACTGTCTCCAAATGTTTTCTAAGTCAGATTTCTTTTTAAAGGTAGGTCATCTTTCTAAATTTAAGACATAGGGATTACAGAACTAAAAATTTATCCAAAACAGACAAATACTCTAGAGAGTTACTTAATGGAAGCTACTAAGCACTTGCTGTTTTTTAAGTTTTCTAAAGTGTTCATGAGTGTTACTTGAAACTGGATAGTTGAGGTGAGCAGTTTAAGTTTATATTAATACAGATTAAACAGAAACTATGGCATAAGGCAGTATATTCTGCTCTTTGTGATATGCTAAGTAAACATCTCTTGAAATAAGCACAAAGTAAGAACTTTCATCCTACAATAAGCTTCAATATTAACCCTTTTTGTCCTAAATCCCCACAAAACCTGAAATTTAAGTGGAAAGGTTGCTGCTAATGTTCATACTCCACTTTTTTTCTAAAATAGCTCATTGGGTTTTAAGCAGTATCTTCACATGCATACAACATACTAAAAATCAATTCAAACCTGAAAGTTCCCGCAAAGACAAACACAAAAAAACAGGCCGAAAGAAAGAATTTTTAAATACAAACACACAGTACAAGTTAAAAAAAAAAAGATGAAGACAAATTGATATAAAAATCAGTATTTATGTAAAAAAATAATGCATTGCATATTGTAAAATCAGTCAATAACAGTATTCACCTTCACACAGATTTCTAGATTTTAAGACTTCAAAAGGTTACATAGCAAGGAAAAGAGACCTTAACTACATACGAGGCAGATTGCTTCCTCGTTTCCATTCCAGAAATTTACACCCTGATCCAGCAGGGATATTAGAAGCAGGATATAAACTCTGCTTACAGTGGAGTGTGTTTTTGTACTGCGAAAGCGTTCGTCCAGTTCACATGGATCTGGGAGTCAGAGCCAGCCTGCCTTTGACAAAGAAACAGCCACAAAAATTAAGCTTCTAAAATAGGGTTGGGATGAAGGTGCAAGTCAGTGAGTGGATCCTCCGTGTTCAACACACAGGAACTTTTCTGGAATCCAAAAACTCACTTTATGAAGACTTCATCTCAGTTAAACAGGTTATCCAAGTTCAAATACACTTTAAAAATACATTTCATACCATGCAAGTTTAAATAATATTTTACTGTAACACTAGAACTCAGCCTTTTTCTTCATGTTTTTCTCTGAAAAAAAGTTTGTATTACATAAACAGAACTTTTTTTCCACTAACTAAAGCAAGCCTAATCCTTACCTGTTGTAAATCACTATCACCCTATTGACAGTAATGCATTCATGTAGTTGAGGATGTGCCCCAGAACTATTTTAAAGCCATGTTATTAAAAAAATATAGTAACAGGATATATTTTCTAAGAAACCCATCTAATATACAGTCTGATGAAGCATCAGAACTCTTATTACAGCTCTTCACTTTCAGGTACTAAATACTCTATAATAATCATCAGGTAATAATTCTTAGTAAGGAAATACAACAGCAAGAGCTTTCCACTGTTGTTTTTTTTTGTTTCCTACTTCCCAAATGCCCTATATAACTGCAAAACCATGTAACTTTTAAAAAGTATTGCAAGACAGATAACTTCAAACTGGCTTTTTTGCTAAAAAAATCCTCAGTTTGCTCTATCTTTTGGCCATGATGGCTCAACGATGTTGAAACAAATGCAGTATATTAAAAAGTCTCCGTATCTACTGACAGAAAACTAGTGTCACATACTAGCTATTAATTTCTCAGAAAATTGTATTTAGAGTGTATAGTATAGTTTACATCTAAGATAAGCAAAACAAGATTGTCAAAACAGTACTTCAACATGTAAGAGATGAACATATAAAGGCACATACAGATTGTCAATGATTATATCACTTTTCTTTGAAAAGAGTATTTTCTGCACTTGTAAACAACTTTGTTCACATAAAGGCTCACACCTTTAAAGTGAGGTTAGTGCTGCTGACTCAATTATTGCTACATTCACAGTTTAAACAGAATTTTAGACAATATATGAGGTACGCTCCCAAATAGAGCCATCTTCATTTCTTCCTTGTTCATTTGATCATTAGATAACTGAATTATGCAGACTAAAACTACTGACCATAGAAGCCAGTAACACCCAAATCATCGGATCCAAGAGAAGCATTAGCAGTGATTAAACTTCAAAAGAGCAAAAGGTCACCTTTGCAGAAAAAAGTTCCTGTTCTTCATTACATGAATATTTTCTTCATTTTTATGTATACTAGTAAACTTTTATCTGGGCACAGTAAGAGCTGATTAGCTCCATATTAGAATTTTTGCATCTTTTGACCAATATGTTGATTCAGTCTCTTGATTTAACAGCTTGGAGAAAAATCACCTTCCCTTTGATCTTCTGGCATACAAGTCTCTTATGCTTTTTGTTAGCTGCTTTATGAACACTTTGTATACTTTTCCACAGTATGTATGCATGGTTTTCCTCAATTCCAGTTCTAGGGGCTGCAACAGGGAATGAACCAGATCATCTCCAAATGAATACTGTAAAGAGGTTAAGAAAAGAAGATTTAAGGTCAATACAGAGTTACTAAAGAGTTCAAAGTTACTAAAGAGTTGTATATAAAAATGCTTTTCAACATTGTATTTGCTCTCTATAGGTTTATTAAATGTTTTCAAGAACTTGGAGAGCTTCTGAATACAATATTTGAAAATCACCTCTAAATTACAGATCTATTCTCTAATGCTTTCAGTAAGGCTAACAAGCAAGATTTAAAAACAAACAAACAAAAAACCCAAACAAAAACCACACATAATCAAACGAACATATCCAGACAGGCAAGGAAGAAATTTAAAATTACCTTATTAAATTAAAAATTTACAGACCTAAAATGATTTCTGGCTATTTGTTTGTTGAACAGTAACTTTCTTAAATGACATGTAACTTTTAAGGAATACAATTCTTATCAAACTATAATGAAACAACGATATGAAAAGTGGTACTACTGAAGTTTCATTAAACTGAATGATGGTCAAGCACATGCTATGTTTAACATGGACATGAAATAAAGAAGTCATTAATTCAACAGTGCAATATTTTTATAAACAAATTATAAGCTAAAACAGCATTTCAAAGTAACATAATTTTGTTCATCTTATTACCACTGAATCAACAGTGTTTTACATACTTTTTCTGACATATTCACAAACCAAATGGGATCATAAATAAAAAGAAATAATTTTTTCTTCTGTTTTTGACAATGCTCAAAGGAAACAAAGAAATAGTATTTTTATGGAAACACATTCACTTTCCCTGCAATGTATTCTCAGACCCCCAAAAGTACTTTTCTTCATTTTTATATCCATATGACAACATGTAATAAAGCACCATTAAAATATACTATTGATTTTTGAAGGTTATACACACACAATAGCCTGCTACATTAAAATGTGCATCAGTGCTAAATTTTACAGCTCTTCAGTGAGTATACTGATGTAGTGATAAATAGTTTATTAGATGACTTATTTGCAGAATGAAAAGAAGTCACTGTGCTTAGTATTTAAAGGAACAGCAACATATTAATACACTGAATCTGTAGAAAAGGTCAAAACAGAGTATAAAAAAAATATTTTCTACAATCCAAATCTAGCTACAATTAGATGTTAAAATGTTGCACTAAATACACACAAACTTTGGGAAGAAGGGGTTTTTTTCATTTTAAAATCTCCAGAAAAATGAAGCTTCTGTTGATCTCCAAATGCGCATGCAAACCATTTACTAGATGTATTTATTAAAGGAATGGGAATAAAGCCTTTTAAATAGGTATTGACAACTACAGGCAATGTTTTAAAATCCTAACCTAGACATAGTCTACATTGTGTTTCAAGAGATGCTCATCACAAAAGGAATACACTGGAATTCTATCCAAGCAGTAAACAGAAAATTGGTGAAACACTTAACATCACTTAAAAGAGAAAAAAATTACTTTGTTGCAATCAAGGTAAGTATAAACAAAACCTACAAAATACATGCAGCACTGTAGATAAAAATACATTAAAAAAACCCCAAACTTTGCACAAGTACAATGCTGAAAACACTTACATTTTTTATTGCTTCATAGACAGCCCTAAAAGTCGGTTGTTTATCATCATGGTAAACACCTCTGTTTCCATGAAGAATAAATATACCTTCTTCTTCAGCTTCCTTACAATTGCTTCCATAGATGCAGTGGTCAGGCCGATAATTCCATTGGCAAGGAAAGACATAAAGACTTTCTGTGCAGAAAAATGAGAACTCTGGATTAAGTAACCAAATTGTTTCAGGAAATACATTAATCTTCTTTTTTTTTCCTTAAGGCTGCTTCATAAATTTCTGTACAGTTGTTTTGAACCCTAATAGCTAATTACACTCTAGCAAGCTCCAATGCTGTTTGTCAAAGTAAACACTTTCAGAAAACAGAAGTAGTGAAAAGTCCCTTGAATACTTCCACTGAAAACTCTGCTAAAAATATTTTCCTGGATTTTTGAACATCATAGAAAAAAATCAACTTTGTCGTGTTAGACTTAGAATCAATGTGGATTTACCTGGATTGTGAAAAAACATAATGTTCAATAGATCCTGATCACCCCATGTTATGTTCAACTTGTACTTCTTCAGCAATGGCATAAGAATTTCTCCCCACTGTAGCCGGACTGGTGTCATATCATTCTATTAAACAAAACAAAGCAAAACAACACACATTCAGGACAATTATACCTATAAAAAAAGGAAATGCCGTATAGAATCGCAGTAATTTGCTTTTCAAAGTTACAAAACTCAAATGTATAGATGATTTCTTCCTTTTAAGCAATTGAGCACATCTAAGGAAAATCGTTATGGACATTTCCAATATGCTTTATTTCTCAATTATTATCTTATAAGGAAAATCATCATATGCATCTCCTACTTCTATTTAACTGCCACGTTAAATTTTCGTCTTCAAGATTTCCCTCAAACATCTTAAAGAGTTCTAAGAAATAGCAAAGTTTTTAATACAGCAGTAGTATCTAACACAAAAACTGCATTTAAGTGATGCGTGCAAGTAGATGGGCACTATTTCAGCCAGCATAGCTTCACCAAGGGCAAGTCCTGCCTGACCAACCTAGTGGCCTTCTATGACGGAGTGACTACATCAGTGGATGAGGGAAGAGCTACAGATGTCATCTATCTGGACTTCTGTAAGGTCTTTGACACGGTCCCCCACAATATCCTCCTCATGGATTTGATGGGTGGACTGTTCAGTGGATAAGGAATTGGCTGGATGGTCACATCCAGAGGGTAGTGGTCAACGGCTCAATGTCCAGATGGAGAACAGTGACGAGTGGTGTCCCTCAGGGATCTGTACTGGTGCCAGTGCTGTTTAATATCTTCATCAATGACATAGCGGGATTGAGTGCACCCTCAGCAAGTTTGCAGATGACACCAAGCTGAGTGGTGCAGTTGACACGCCTGAGGGACGGGATGCCATCCAAAGGGACCTGGACAAGCTGGAGAAATGGGCCTGTGTGAAACTCATGAGGTTCAACAAGGACAAGTGCAAGGTCCTGCACCTCAGTCGGGGCAATTCCCAGTATCAATACAGGCTGGGGGGGGAAGGGATTGAGAGCAGCCCTGCCGAGAAGGAATTGGGGGGACTGATAGACAAAAAACGAGCCACCTGCAGTACTGCGTCCAGCTCTGGAGTCCTCAGCACAGGAAGGACATGGACCTGTTGGAGCGGGTCCAGAGGAGGGCCACAAAAATGATCAGAGGGAGGATCAATGGTAACACCTCTGCTACAAGGAAAGGCTGAGAGTTGGGGTTGTTCAGCCTGGGGAAAGCTCCAGGGAGACCTTATTGCAGCCTTTCAGTACTTAAAGGGGGCTTATAAGAAAGATGGGGACAGACTTTTTAGTAGGGCCAATAGCGATAGGACAAGGGGTAATGGTTTTAAACTAAAAGAGGGTAGATTAAGACTAGAGATAAGGAAGGAATTTTTTACAATGAGGGTAGTGAAACACTGGAACAGGTTGCCCAGAGAGGTAGCAAATGCCCCATCCCTGGAAGGACACACTGGATGGGGCTCTGAGCAACCTGATCTAGTTGTAGATGTCCCTGCCAATTGCAGGGGGTATGGACTAGATGACCTTTAAAGGTCCCTTCCATCCCAAAGCATTCTATGATTCTATAAACATCCATACTTCATGCAATTTCTCTGTCTTTATAATATACACAGGTTTTAAAGTTAACTTCAAAAATTCAAAATGGATCAATATAAAATTAATTATTAAATAGTTCCAAATACATATAGCTAAAAAATATTGGCTACAAAGCAGTATACAAAAATACAGAAATCCTTCAAAGGTTTTCAAAGGAATTTTCATTAGTTGAACTATGTTTTTTAGTTACTGAACTTGAACTTCCACAGCAAAGGCACAACTTTTCACTAGCAAAAGGCAGTAAGACTCTAAACCAACAGCTGTTACTTAACTCCCAAATTCTTGACATAGCAAAATCACTTCAAAGGAAAAGGAGAAGTTCTAAAGGTTTGGCTGAGGAGGTGCTACTTGGAATAAGCTGGCCTACGTTGAACTCCACATTACCAAATGGGTTACCATCTGCAGTGTAACAGGTTACATATTCTAAAGCTAATTTCTTATCTTTACACCATATTTAAGCTCAATTAGAACAGAAAAGGAACCAGGCTGCTCACTCTGTACCTTCTACTTCAGTTGGGAGAGTGAGGACAGAATAACAGTAAGTCCCAAAGAGAAAATTCCTGAGCAAGTACAAGATTATAACCTTGGTTCTTTTTAACTAAGTTGTTAAAAAAAAAAAAAAAATTAAATTAGAACTCCAGTATGGTTTGGGATCTGTATACAGAAACAGCATATTAAGAAACAGAAAAGATTACCAGGAGCAAAATATTCAGTTTTAGAATTATAGTATCAAAGACTTTCTTCTCTGAGCTTTCCACTGACAAGCTAGAAAGTGCAAAAATTAGCAGTTCAGTTTTTAGTCTTTCCTCAAATTATTTCAGCCATCAAATATGAAGGGCTCTCAGAATTGAAGACTAAAAAAAGAAATACTATCAGATTTCAGACAAGAATTAATACAAAAAAGATCTATAGCTTATATTATGTAAGAAGCCAAACGGAATATTACAGTCCCTTCTGTCCTAAAAAATTTATGACTATGATTGCTTGCAAGTATTCGATGAGAGCAGGCATAAGAAATGCACAAGAGAATTCTTCTCTAGCAAAAATTATCATTAGGCTCAATGCAATGTGATTAAACAAAAGAAAACACAGGCTTAACACCAAGCTAAAACCTTCCAAAAAGCAGATCAATTGGACTAAATCATGGTGGGTAAAGATTACTCCCTCACCTGAACTTTGCCATCCATAGAATATTGACCTAAATTTTAAATTTAGACTCAGTGCTAAGAATTAAAAACAGAATTGAATTAGCTCACAGATATCAGGATAATCATAACAAGAGAATATACAGTGGGAAATAAAGTTTTAGAGCAGCCCACAGAAGTATTACTTGAAATTCTTAAAGTCATTATTTCTTATAATTTTCATTTAACTTCTATAGTTTTAATAGCAGTGAAATCCAGAGTATATCCCAAGTAGATGCAAAGCAGGTAACAGCATACATCACATTGTCAGATGTCTAGAAGCAATACTACTTGACAAATAGTGCTATCAGATTTAAGAATTGGAAATCGTAATATTTCAATAACCTTTGCATAAATAGAAAAGAGTTATATATTAATTTATTATCACTGATGTATAATGAAACCAATGTAGGAATCAGAGCAAGAGAAACTATTTGAATAGTTATACAACCTCCTTTAAAATTCTACTGTAACTTGTAGTGAGGTCAAACAGCATGAGAAGTAGAATGCTCAAGTTCCATCAAAATTGATGACAGAATTGCTTTTCAAAAGTTACTCAAGTAATTATGAGAAAAATAACTCTATGGTAACTTAAGGATTTCCAGAACATAAACCTCCTCTCCAATATTCAACAAGGTTAAAGAGGTTTAAGAAAAAAAGCCACAATGGCAGTGGGCATTTCTGTGATGCCATCAAACTGATACAGACAGGCTCTTATGAACCCTCAAAATCCCGGGGTTTTTTGAGCAGAAGAAAATGTGTAAGAACAAAATATACATAAGGACATTAAGATATTCTCCTAGATGTTTTTGTTTGTTTGTTTCGATGCTGTGTTTTAATTACTGTGGTCATTACTGATTTCTGGGACAGAAGACTTCTGCCTGGCCAAGGCTGAAGTCAGACTTAAAAGAGCTGCCACATTTAGCCTGTACCAACCTAGTGTTACCTCTCTCTTAATTCTAGTAGGAAAATATAAAGTTGAGGAAAAATACTCAAATCATACAGCAATATCTAAAGAAACTGCAGCTGTATCCCACAAACAGTTGACCAATTTAAATTTCCTTAAATGCCAAATGAGAGCAAGCCCTCTTCCTTCTGGTTACATGACTCTCTCCTGTCCTTGCATTAACAGTGTAGTGCTAAGATGTTTTTGTCAGCTGATTTACTTCACTAACTCAGTAGAAGGATTTCTTTTTTCTACTGTTACCAAATTTAATTGAATCATAGAAGGGACCAACAAACACCAGAGGCTAGGACAAAGTAAACAAGAAAAGCAGGGAAAAGCAGATGGCAAGACATGGGAACCTTCCTTTTAGAAGCAATTAGCTTTTGCACAGGCTCACCGTATTTCTTGGAACTATAGCCTTAAGCAATACTGAATGGTAAAAAGAAAAGTGTACAATGGCTTAGGTCATAGAAACTCTCTGAACTTTGATTTTTTTTTTTTGTCTAAAGCATACCCATGAACCTCTCCTTTGCACATGCTATCTGGAGTCATTTTGTTTGGGGCTTGTTTGATTTTCTAAGCGCTCATTCCTTTCCATGACTGTCCACGTCTCAGGCATCACAGCAACTAAGTTTCTTAATAAATTTGATAAAAGTCATTGTTCTCTATTCACAAAGCCTCACTGGTCTAAGACTTCTTGTTCAAACACCCTATCTGGGGTATTTGCTACATCTCTTCAAGTTTAAAAGTATCTATATCTATATGTATATGAATATAAAAAGCAGTCACCTACCATTACTTCTTCCATGTTTTGCATTCCTATTTTCTAATTGCTGCTTAGGAAAGACAACAGGCAGACATTACCAATTCTAGTCTTATGTACAGTTATGCACTGTTTAATGACCACACTATATTCAATAACATATACGTGCATACATATGTATCTTTATATATGTATACACATGTGTGCATATGTACGTATGTATACATACAGTGCATATATCTGTATCGTATATATACACAAAGTCTCAAAACACACAGGACTATCTTATTTAGATAGGTAGGATCAGGAGTGACAGCTTCCATTAGGCACCATAGATAGCCAAGTAGCTAGGATGCTTGTCCGAAATTAATAGACCTGACAGTCCTGAGAAGATTGAGACTTGAATAAATAAGTGGATAAAAGCAGACTTAATCCTGGAGCAATACATGGAACTACAGGTTTTCTGCTACCCAGATGAGCGCTATAAGCATTTGCTAAAGTCTCCGGTTCTCCTTTTTATTTATTCATCTTCTGGTTCCTCCTGACTCTTACAAATCAATGTGACAACAGAAGAAAGATGCTTAAAGGCCTCAAGCAGCTCACTCTGTAATTTCAGGCTGAAGAAGCTACAACAGACAAAGAACCCGCAGTTTTAAATCCATTGCATTAGAGGAATATCCTGATTCAAAACTTCCACTGTTTACACAAGTGCTCTAGCCACTAAATAGTCATACAAAAAGGTCTACAGGCAGCTTTTTAAAGATATAAAAATTCCCAGAATTTATATATTCCTTGATAAATTTGTTGAGTCTCCTGAAGGAATATAAACAAATTCAGACCTTCCTATAAGACAACGAAGCATTTTCTAGTTCTACTGTATTTGACTGGAATAGTTAATGGGACACGACATGGGACAGTACCTGTAAGGTTCAAAAGCATCTGCAGTGCTGCTGGCAAGGGGTATTAGGACAGTCTCTACCCTTGAATTTGGTTTACCTCTCTTCTGAAGGCTTCAGACTAGTAGCTCCTTTGCCATCAGTAACAAGGGAAGCTATACAATCTCTCAGGCCTACTGTGTATAGTCTCAACTACACTAAACCCTTTTCAAAGCTTTGCTGCAAGACTTGCCATTTTTCATACTGACCAATCATCCTTTTAAGACATTCAAGGAACCTGAAGAAGAAAACAGTCTCTGCAAGTCTCTACGAACAGCAGAGTTTCTGTAACGGAGCTTGTGCATCTTAGGGCCCTGGGATGCTCCGCAAGCTTGTGGGACCACACTCTAGGTACTGAGGGAGCATAAACTAAATGGTTCCCTTGCTGAGTGCTCTCTAAGCCAAGATCTCAATAATCAATATTGTGTAAGAGAAACTAATTTCCTGCTTAGTCATTACCCAGGCTGCACTATCTAGCTATGATATGAGAGGAGAACGATCAAGCACTATCATTCCTAAGTTTCAGGTAACCTAGTAGCTCTCTGATTAGACGTCCTCAAACTGTTCTGACTGGGCTGAGCATGCTACCACAAGCCTGATACTGTAGGACACTTCTCCAGTGTGTCCAATAGGTGAAAGGACTAAGTCAGCAGCATGGGTTAGAAATCATGAGGTAGTCTCCCGTCAGAAACAATTCTGAGCCTTCCAATACCAAAAAGTCTGCAGTGATAAATATGTTGGGCACTGGCAATAAGGTCTAATGCAAAGTCTTAGCAAGCCAGTCACACTGGAGAAAGTATCTGTCCCTCCAAATTCAAAGCTTCAACAAACAACAAATATTACACTTGCCAGAAACAAAGAGAGAGGCAAAACACCTGGATGCTCAGCTAGATACTCAGCATTTTTTATACAAGGGCCTGAAAGATACTGGGGCAAGGTTTTAAATCAAGACGGGTATCCAAAGAGGGCATTTCAAAATGCTTCAGCTGAACCAGAAAATCCATATGTCAAAACACCATGCACTTAAACATTTTATCTGTGTTTCTTGCTCAAGGTAATCAGACTAAGACTCCAGGAAAGATGTATAGGATGATGAAAGTAGGGGGGAAAAAGGTGTAGGAACAGAAGGAAAAAGATTAACTTCATGCAAGAAATAAGTTCTCAGCAACCATGTTAAAAGCTGCACACACACAAACCCCACCACAACAACAAAAAAACTATAAACCCCAGGTATACAGAACACACCATCTTTTTTACTTCGTACTATCAAGCAAGAGTGAAAGAATATTTCTTTATGTGCACCAGTAGTCTCAAATGTTTAAGGAATACCCACGGTGCGCGCACAAGCATTCCTGGACAAGTATGGTGTTCAGAAGACATGCGAAAGCAAGGGCCAGAAGTACATATGCATCAGACATGGAAAGGGAAGTCTAAGTTTGACGTGACAGTAAAGCCCTGGGAAGGATGCCAAAGAATGACGACTAATGATTACAGGCAGCAAATGCTGTATTTCTAACATTTAAAACAACTGAAGTGGAGCAGGGGAATGGGTTAATTGCTTTTATTTTTGTTAACTAAAGCCATCAAAAAGGGTTTTGAATCATGTGCTTTGCTATTGGGAAGCTTTGCTCTGTTTCTGCTTCCCTTTCTCAAATGCCCTTTCATAATTCTAAATATTTAGTATACTTGCACAGGACTGTGTAGCTCACTCCAATCTCAGTTCCTTTCCCTTATTGTATAATGCTAAGCCTGCAACTCATCAAGCAGACTTGCTTAGTACAGTACATAACGCTTTTTCTCAAATTGTTTAGTAAGACAAATGTTTTCAGGACAAGTCAAGATATTTTTTTTTGTTCTGATTCTGATGTTCCTCAGTACAGAAAGAAGTTCAGTGGCCCACTTAGCTACAAACTGTACATCGTGTTAGGTATACTGAACTTTGCCAGCAGGATCATGACAAAAGCATATGGATTTGTGCCTCGCCTTACAGCTGAGGTCTTATAAATCACAGATATTTACCCCCATAATAAAGAGCACTTCCTCCAAGGCTGGTTTTGGTTTAGCAATCTGACATGTTTCATTGCTTAATAAATATACAACATGGCAACAACAGGAATATGTAGCAGATATTTTCAGGACCTTGAAAATATTCCAGCCCTCTAGTACCAAGGGAAAGCAATGATATTCCATTTTGAATTTCAAAATATTCATGAATGATTTCACCTACTTAAATCTGTATAGACAGACTTAAATTTTAAGAAACCACCGGTTTTAGGTGTTAAGGAGAAAGAACTTTATATACTACATAAAACTCTAGAAAACTGTGATTAATTTGAAAGACAATTTTAGTATCCTACATAATTTGTATACATCTGAAAATTTTAATTCCAATTTTAGTAAAAATGCAAAAAGTTTCAAATAGATTGATAACTTAAGTTGTACTGAGAAGCCCAACCAGAATTCTGGCACAGTATGAATAGAAGACCAACCTTATCCCAGAGTTTACTATGCTAAAAATAATTCACTACGCAGAAATGCGCTGTCAGAGGTTAACATACACTCAGGTTTCAGTCCCATATTTTTCTTGTTATACTTTTCAATATTTTCATTTCTCCAGATGCTATAAATCAGGAAAACAAACAAATAACAAAGTAGACAATGCCAGATTCCACTGATATATACAGAGAAGGTTTTTTCTTGGGGAAACTACAGCTATATACTATAGCTACTATAACTTCCTACTTTAGGCATTGGAACAGCCTGTCCAGGGAAGTGGTACAATCACAGTCCCCAGAAGTATTCAAAAAACGTGTGGATGCGGTGCTTAGGGATATGGTTTAGAGGTGGACCAGGTAGGTTAACAGGTTGGGCTCAATGATCTCAGAGGTCCTTTCCAACCTTAGCGATTCTATGATTCTACTTTAACTACAACCGAGATAATCCATTTTCCTTTTTTCTTAAATTCTCTGTATTTCCATAACAAAAATATATAGCAAGAATGTTAAGATGAAAGCTAAATCTTTCTTAAATTGGAAATGGGGGAGAAGTAACATCTACTGCAAGTTTATGTTGCCCCTTTTATGGGCGCACCTTCCAATAGTTTTTGACTGCGTGATTATTTTTCTCTAATCAAACTTCTCTTACACAGAGAAGTACTTTTTCCCCAGCATAATCACATAGCACTGCTGCTGTACTCGTGTTTCAAGTACATAAGAGAAAACTTCCCATCTGTGAAGCAATGACCGTTCCTGCTGCTGCATGCACTGCTTTAGTAAGTACTTTCATGATGAACTTATTTCTCTACAAAAACTGTGACTTCCAAGTAAATCAAAAGATACTTAAGGTGATAATCACCTGGTTACAATGTAAAAGACCAAAATTTGGAAACTGTACAGCTAAAATAACTTACTAAATGTTTTAGCACCACCTCCTGGTCATACTACTACACATTCTTAAAGTTAGTTTACAGTATACATTAACTATTTTCTGGGATCTCTACAGTGAAGAAAAAATATCAGAATATCTACTAACAAATGTAATTTACAGCAGACCATATCAAATCACAGGATCTCTCAGAACTAAGAAAAATTAAAACAATCAAGCACACTTGAAATTCAGGAATTCCAAGTCTTACGGTGAACGGCATTTAAAAAACACAAATTAGATACCATTTTAAACACAGCCTATTTTCAGAGCATTGTTCCAATTACAAGAAAAATATTTTGAAAAATACTGTCCACATGAATTTGAAACAGGATTAGAATTAAAAGATGTAAAATCATAGAAAATGCAATAAAGGCAACACACATACCTTGAAATACTTTCTTCTGATACGTGTCATATTCATTAACATGACTCCAGAATTTATTCCAGTTACTCCATAATAGGGATGTCTAGCAAAGCGATTATACCACCCGATACGAGGCTCTTCGTGTTCCGGTGCCATTGCAGCAATTTGTGTGGAGTTGAACTTTCCCAGAAAGGACCAAATATCATCAACAGGTCTCAAAAACAGAATGTCAGTATCAACATATAGTAGTGAATCCACATTTTTGAGGATTAACTGTGGGGGAAAGAAATCGAAAACCAGACTTCTAAGTTTTATGGAGTTTCTCTTCATAAAACAGAAGTTGCTGCGATTACACAATGAAGTTTAATACATTTTTGTCATATGCAAATAAATTCACTTCAGACTGACAATTTGCAGGCCATAAATTTGTCATCATTCCCTCTTCTCTTATTTTGGAGAAGTTTTGCAGAGTGAAACGGAGGTTTTATATAGAATAGTAATGCAAAGGCACTCAGTCTACATTTTATATCCCAGGGCTCCTCAGGAGTAGGTTGCAGGCCAGGTGAAACGTTACCATAACAGGAGCTCCTACCTTCCTCCTCTTCCCTTGCTTTCCTATGCATCTAATCAAACAAGGGAGAGGGGTAAGGGAGCCCCAGAAGAGACAGTATTTGGGAGATAGCTGCCACTGCTATAATTCACCTAGCCTGAAGTATGATTTCTGAAGTGTCTCAGATGAGCAAAGAAAAGGTTGCACTCTGGCAACTATAGCCCATTTCTTGCTTTATTTTCTCTAGCACTTCTCAGACCCACGCATGCAGGAAACTTTCCAACTAAATGAGGAGATGAGGTGTGATAAATCCTTCTTACCTCTGAGAGGATGACATGACCTGTACCACTCACTGAGGATATTGTGCCATAATGCAGCAAGTGAGAAAAGGACTTTTATTCTATTAGTGCCACAGAAGAAAGTTAAATTCAGAACGTTTTTTAGGATGTCATAAAAGTAACTTTTAGGAGTAGTAGTAGTTCTTAATGTAAAACCGAGCAGAAATTAGATTAACAAGGACAGCTTGATGCTTCATAAACAGACTTCCATATTGTCCTATTAAAGAATAACTTACTGGCAAGAACAGCCTTTGTGAAGCACATGGTTTAAACAATTTCTTCCATTCTGCTGCACTTTCAGTTGGAAATGTTATTGGATATAATGTGTAATTAACTTTTCCTTCATAGGGGAAGTCATCAAGCTATGTGAAAAGAAGAGATCACAAAAATTGGTTCAGTTCGATTCTATTACAAAAAGGAATCAATCCCCCATTCAAATTGATACTTGAACACAACTGCAACACCTCTCTTCCATAACAGAAATGCTTCCTGAACTACAATAATCTGTCAACTATTCAAAATACTTGAACAGAAAGTGGCACCTGCAGGCCACTATGAAGAAAACACATCATATCAGATCATATACAAAAGTAAGGGCAAGTAAAATAAATTAGTGTTTACAAAACATAAATAAAAAACTTTTTCCCCTCTTAACTAGTTTCTACAGGAGAAATACCAATGAAGTCTTTCTCAATTTAAAATAACCTTACCCAATTTTTGCCACAGTTACTGTTCGCATGACATTAGTATATGTATATTAGTATCTGTAACATATTAATGTCATAGTTAGTATGACATTTTAAGCACAAAAATAGTAAAACCCTCCACGGCTATATACTAGTTAGCTTCTAATACTGCTACTCCAGTCATAATGTTATATTTATTAACTGGAATTTACTAAAATTAGACATAACCATATCTACCATTTTCAAAAACTGACACTTCACTTTGTTTAGACAATGTAAGACTGACTCATACCATAAGCACAGGAACAAAAAAGGACAGATCTCTGTTTTCTCTTACAAAACCAACTTTAAATAAGCTCACACACAAGACAACTGGTTTGTGTTCAGAACATCAGGTTTGTCTTTAACAGATTCAAGGTGACAAATCGGGAAGTTTTGGTCTGTCTCTATGAAAAGCTTTGATATCAGCAACCGGCATTTTTCGCAGGGGAAAAAAAAAAAATTCAAAAATCCCCATCCAATATTACAAAAGGCTTGCATATTACCTTATTTTTAGACCCCCGCATTTCTGCCACTACAGCCAACGACTACTACCCAAGAAGCAGAGAAATCGCTATATATTACTCAAATTGTACTACAAATTGATTAAATAAATTATTTGGGTACTTACTATGTCTTTGAAACTCTCATGCAATTGGTCCTCAGCAAAAATATGAAACTGAAGGGGTTTGATGCTGAAAATAATGGCTGATCTCAACATAGTAACAGTCTCCTCCAGTCTTTCACCACAGGCAACCACTGCTAGATGCATTTTCTCAGAAGGATGTGTTTTCATATAATCGTATCTGATACAAAAATATTTTTTCATTTGATGTTATTTCTAGCACAGGCTTAAAGAAAAGCTCTACTATTTACTGCAGCGTGTAATTTAACAAAATATCCTTTATCATATTTAAACCAGCAAAGGATAACTCAAACAGAACATACAAACTACAGCATTACACCTCATATGTAGGCTTACATTTAACCTGAACTATTCTCATATTCACTCCCACCATCCCAGCCTATGAGGGAAAAACAAGGTATGGAAGAGCTATACAGAAACTAAACGAACAAATATTCATTTTCTTAGTAATCTTACTATCCATTACTAGCAAGGAATTCCATCAAAATAGCTATGTTAAGAGAAAGATCACATGAAGTTACATCGAAATGTGAAAGGCTGACAGCACATTAAGTCTATGCATGAGTTCATTTTCTCCTCTTTCCCTCTCCGCTTTCCCTGGACTCAGAACAGAGATAGGGAAACATAATAAATATTGAAGAGTTAAACTCTGCAACAAAAGTGATATAACCCCCTACTTTTAAGAAGTTCTCCTAAGAACATTTTTGAGTGATCTAGACGTTTTGTCCATTTTCTGCTCCAGTAAGTCCTTTTGTCAGATGCATGCTTCAGGGCTTCTCCTAAGCACTGGCAAAATGCAAAAAGCTTTCTCCCATCCTTCCATCCTGCAGGAGTACAACTTGGGTTGGAAGCAGGGGAAACTAACAGCTCAAATGGCCTTGTGGGATGTCCTGGTGCTCCCAGTGGTTCTGGAAAATCCCTCAGGTACACTGACCACATGCACTACTCATGTCCTTGGGGCTAAACCACTGCAAGGTGCGGGGGCTGGGAAGTCCTTTCTTCCTGAAGACAGCTGCCCAACAGTTATGGTGTGAAGTGCCTGGTATGTATTATACAGGGTACATTTAAAAGTTGTTTCTTTATTTCAACACAATAGGCTAAAATTATCATCAGGTAAATACCCTTAGTTTGGTGGCAAACACAGTGGGTATACTAAACCTAAGACCACATTCTCCTGGATTTCATATATTAGTCAGAAAAGCTTTCCAAGGTTTTAAACATGTCAACTCAAAGCCAATCTTCAAAACAATATTCTGCACTTGAGCTATATGCATGGACTATGGGAGGAGGGGGGCTAACAGAACTAAGAGGATCTGAAGGTTTAAATTACAAGTTTAATTCCAAGTTACACAGACAAAAAAAAAAAATCTGAAGCTGGAAAAAACATTCCCAAACTAATAACGGTGGATAAATGCTTGGCAAACATACCATCCATTCTTAGTAACTTGCCAAAGAGAGAGACACTTCAAAACAGAAATTAACAGATGTGATTCTTAGCACATAACCTCCACCCAATTTATGTAACTAAAACTTTAGATGCATAAAAGTTTTCCTTTAAATTGACAAAAGATACTATGCAAATATGCCTTTTTTTCTTTAAGGCATGGAAGAGCAACACACATTATTTTGAATTCCATGAGGCAAAATATAAGCAAAGATATCGATGTAAAGCTGCTGAAGTTTAATGCCACAAATAATGGCTGCATCTAAAAAACATTCCGAGTTTTGGAAGACTTTAATGCCCGGGAACTAAAAAACTCCAGCATCCCAGGGATTTAAGAGTAACAAAATTTTAATTAGAACATGCAGTAAGTCTTAAGTCAAGGTCTGAAGCATAATAATGCCCCAAAAATCACATGGGCGAATGACCTCACAGGTAGGATTCAGATCCAAAACAGGATACCTAAATGAAGATGCTGACATACAAGATTGTGTCCAAGTCTCATTAAAGCCAATGGAGATCTGGCTCACCAGATATGGAGTGCAGACAGCAATTCATCTTTCTTACTTTGAAATACCTAGGGCTTGATTCAATTTTTTAACATAGGTATAGTGCCATTTAATAAGCTCTAGAATATCCCACCTGACCTCAGGTGCCAGTCCAAAAGAACTGGGTGTCTCAAAGATCACGTTGTATCTACTAGTCCTAAGGAGACATCTAGGATACCCAAGTGCTTCTCAATTAACACCAGCTATTTACTTCTCAGCAACTTAATGGCTAGTCACCTGGATCATTCACTACACTTGCAATTTTAATTACTGCTTAAGACCTACTTGACATAGACACCTATATGCAGATGTCTATATTCAGGTGATTTAATTCACAGACTGAAACCTTTTATAAGTCTTGCAGCAAAACCTGAAAAATTAGTTCAGGTTAACAGGAAAAAATATAATAAAATATAATCTTTAAATGTAACTGAGCCATGCCCATTCAGACATTTATACATAAAGCTAATTTAAACATTACACCACATAGTAAGTAGCTAATGTAAAAAACACAAAGCAAGCTGAATGTGATGAAGGTAGCTGAAACCCACAAATAAGTACCTTGCTGCAGTCCGAACAAGCTGCAAGCAGCAGATTAGCCTCATCCCTAATCCAGTGAAAAGGGAATTACAATAATTAAGCCCTGAAGTCACGAGAGCCTACAGTGATATTGCAAGGTCATGTGATAAATAAGGGCACAACCTACACAAAATGCATAGCTGAAAGCCAAGTTCCTGGACTACATGTAACACATGGCTTTCCATGAATAAGGTATGATGAAAATTATGCCCAAGCAACTCTAAAATGCATTGAGATTTAAAGACTGCATTTTTACTATTTCTACATCTAGTGACATCTGCGAATAAAAGAACATCTCAAGCCACACGACAAAAAACAGACTGATCACATTATAATGCTTTTACAGTCGCTTTGTTCGCACAATCTCTGTTCTATGAGTTTCTGACTTCATGAGTTCAATTTTTTAAATCTGTGCCTAAAAATAATTTTTTGAAAAGGCAAAAAAAAATTTAGAAAAAAAACTAGTAACAACTGAATTTCAGCTTGCACAATATGGGGAACAGCTGGACTCAGATCCGTAAATCCACAACACAAAGCTTTATCCCTGAAGCAGATGGAGCAAGAAGCCCTTGGAAAGAACAGGCCACCATTCCCTCTGGGGACTATGGGGATGAGACCTATTAGGTCTCAGAGACATATTACAGCAGCAGAAGTCATGAGTCACAGCCTCCTTTTTAATAATCAGGCCTCAGTGCTGCTCCTCTCCCTACATATACATCTCTCTCCACTCCCAGAGGGCAATCATTGCCTCATCTTCATCCAGGGACACTAACTACTTGCCTCTTGTGCTAATCCTCTGCTGCCAGCATCTTTCATCACTTTTTCCTTCTCCTCCCACTAGCAGCAGCATAAAGTTTAAGTTGTCCAGCAGAGTTTACCAGTGTGAGCTCTGCAGTCTTGCCTTCAATATTAAATGCCCCACTCACAGAGCCAGTTATCTATGCCATGACTTGTCTCACTCCCTTCTTCAATATTATCTTTACATGACTGTGGTCCTTCCCCTAATTCCTTTCAAAATTATCTGCCCTCAACTGCTCTCTATTTCTTCCTGAATTTTCCAGCCTCTGTAACCCTTTTCCCCATCTTTCCTCCACTGCTCTCCACTGCAGTTAGTCATGCAACTACCTCACCAGAAGACCCAGAAAGGAAAACCTTGTTCATTTAGACAGGCCTGGCTCCGGTATGACCTAATGACACAAGATTTTTCAGCAATACAGTTGTTTTTTTTTTATTAGCAGTTCAGTAGCCTTGTTGACCACGAGCAAAATAAAATGTATTTTACAAGAACCGTAACTTGTCTGAACCTGAGCAAGCTCTGGTATCAGAGCAATACCCTTATTGAACCTCAAATCCAGGTTCTGAAAGTGTTAAGACACTTTCAAAAGTGAGGAGATGCTTTCAAAAAAAAAGTTCAGAGGCAACGTGGAAAAAAAAACAAAAATACAAACACAGATTTTTATAGGCACATTTTAATGTGCCTATAAAAATTTAAAGCCTGATGTTTTGGTGTGGGAGAACTTAGTGGAGAAGCTGGAAAAAGCAACAATAGAGTGAAATACAAACTGTATTTTAGTAAGGTTTTTGGATAGACTAACAAGTAAAACTTGACAGTGCTAATTTCTAAACTAAAAAAAAATCTCCAATAATGTGGGGGTCCTATCTCCTGTTGGGAAATAAAAACCACTGGTAAGTAAAATGGAAGAGCAAAGAATGTACCTGCAATCCAATAGAAGATACTGAGCAGGAAGCCATGACAGGATTTGAGTGTTTAGGGACAAATAAGAGAACTTCATGTATCTAAGGATACTAATTACATGAGTGGTAGGGACAGTAAAAATAAATTAAATAAAACACTTGAGAGAGCGCACCACACATACTCCCATGAGTTTAGAAAACACATTTAACACTTTGACACTGTGAGAGCAAAAACATATACTTTAAAACATGCTGCTCAGGTACAAGCCTTGCCCTGAAGTATTTCTGTGTAGACCTTCATTCTGTAATGATTAATTCTGCTGTGGGGTTAATAACCTCTGACAGAGGAACATAGCTGGATACGCTCAATGAATCTGCTACAACAAGATTTTCCAGAGCCTGTCTGTCAAGACACTGCCTTATGTTTAAAGATGTATACGATGGCACACTGTATATTAAATTAGCATTTCTAGGTCAATTAAAATTATGAAGTAATAATTTGGTAGTAAACTACAGAGGTATGTTTTGACGGGTTGTACTCTTTTAGAACCTTCACTGCATCCCAGTTGAACTTCTTGGAAAAAACCAAAACCCAAATTATATCACCACTAAAATAGTAATCAGCTCCACGAAAATCTTAGCTCTGCCCTCTAGACTTGGCACAAGGTACTGCAGCGGGGGGGGGGGGGGGGGG